ACTTATATCCTTCTGCAAACATTTATCTCACAGTGCCACATTTTCCACTGTAATTCAGGACAGAAAGCAAGAAAGTAGCCCTTCTGTTTTCTGCCCACATACTAGAGGACATGGCCAGACACACACTGCCCGAGAGACAAGCTGCCATTTCAACAGACTTGAGCACTGAGGTGAACGCAAACACACCCACGCAGAATACTCTGCAGGCACACATATACAGATATATTCATCTATGAATGGTTCTATTATAAAGCAATGCAATACAGCTCTGCTTTGCCCTCTGTATGTTTCTGTAAGTGGTGAATACTAAGTATTAAGATGGTGATGACCTGTATAAATTATTAAATTATTGTTTAAAGTCTGAATTTCTGTGTGTTAATAAATCGCGCACACACACGTACATACACACACACACACACACACACAAGAAAAACCCTATATATATGGACACAAGCCCTAACTGAGGTAACTAGTTTACAGCTGGCAGCAGTTTACTTCACTGTCCATCCAGAAATTCTGTATCTCTCCATAAAATATGATCTACTTTCATCAAAACCATTGACATAGCTGAAGTGTGTGGCTCAGTGCCATAAAGTGTTACGCACTCGTCCCAACCCAGAGCCAAAAGTTACACAGTGCGAGTACAGGGAGCAGAGTGGGAATGACAGGGGCACCACTCATCCTATAAGTCACTGAAGCATCAAAATGATTCTGAAGCTGTTATTTTAAGGTAGAAAAAGTTGCATAATGTCACTTTAAACAACCTTGAATTCCTTGAAGTGCTGACTCAGCTAGACGCTGGAAGCTTTCCACAGGGATCCTGGCCCATGCTGACTTGATAGCATCACACAGTTCCTTCAAATATTTTGGAGGCACATTAATGCATCTTATGGCACATTATCCTGCTGGAAGCATCCATTTGAAAGAGAATAGACTGTGGTGTTAAATGGCTGAGCGTTGGTCAGCAACAATCTGTCAGTACGCTGTGGAGCTCAGATGATGCTCAGTTGGTGCTATGTGATGGGATTTGTTGAACAAGGTGACATATTTTCAGTTTCCAGTTATTGGAGATCACACGATATGGAACTTTATCTGTAGTTTGTATAGCTCCATGTGCTTTACCCAGGTATAGTCATCCCTCTGCACATCACGGTTGCACTAAGCCAGTGTACATTTGTGGCCTGTCAGTTAGCATGAGCATATCTTGTCACTCTCTTCTGACCTCTTATGTCTATGATGCCTTTTTGTCCGCAGAATTGCTGCTGCTGATGTTTTTATGTTTTTTTTTTTTTTTTTATTTGTACTGCTATCCTTGGTGAACCCTGTAAAGCGTAAATATTCCAGTGTGACGGCCGTTTGTCAGATCAGCGTGTCTGTAAGGATCATACCATATTCAAAAACCGGCTCAAATCTCACGTCTCGCCCATTCTAACATTTAGTTGAACAGCAACTGAGCCTCTCAACCCTGTCTGCCTGCCTTTATGTCTTATTTACACTATCACTCAGTCCGGGAAGACATGCTGTTTGCATTAAAAAGGAAGGTGTGATGTGAGAGTACTTTTGGAGACAGCTAGAGAGGAAGAGAGATGAAAACAGAGGGTTAGCCTGCAAGCTAATGCAACAACAGAAATGCCAGACAGTTCAATTAGGTTAACAGTTAATTGGACCCCTCCCTCAATAAAGAGTTGTGTACTGTTTACCTTATTATGTGTGTCAGCTATGATTTTGATTCTCAAAACTACACTGCTTACTTGACAGATATACACCTTTAATGAACATATAGTGTCAGCCTTTTTTAAGTGAGTCCACATATTGATTTAAAGCGCTTTTCCCTATGAGAGATTGTGATGTGATTTCCCTGAGGAAGTCGCCGCCCCCCCTTCCTTAATGTCCTCTGTAGCCTTCAGTTAACCATCTGCTGAGAAGGGAGCACATGGCAGAAGATGTGTTAACGAATGCATAGTTATATAATCCAGACCTGTGGCGGAGGGAAAGACAGAGAAGACGGCGCGGCGAGTGGCAGCCACATTCACATCTCTCGACAAAGTACAAGAGAGAAAGGTGGGAGAAAAGAAATTCTTTGTGCCACCAGTGCCCCCAAGTGGCCTGAGGTGGCATCCCCCCCACCCCCACTCCTTTTTTCACCTTTTCACACATGACATGATAACTGCTGCTTTGCCTTTTCTCTTTCTATAAAGAAAAACTCAAGAGACATAGGAGCTGATGAATCGCACGTGACAGGCTGATATACGGATGGTATTGCTTTTTCGATGACCACTGTTAAATGGGCTGCATGCTGACACAGTAAACCACAAAGCAAGGACGACTATTACAAATCAGTCCCCGGCCCTCCCTCTTTTCCTCCTCCTGCCAAAACACCATACCTGGCCCTTGCCCTGGCCAGCCATCATACCCCTTATGAATCAAAGACACTGGAGCAGGAGTAGGGAGAGACAAGGACTTATGAGCACTTGGCACTGCCTCCCCCATTTGCTCCTCTCAGTCTCTCTCTCTCTCTCTCCTGCAGTCTGTACATTTTTCTTTAACCTCTCCCGCATTTATCTGTCTAGCTGGGTTGGATGATAAATCCTCTGGCAAGGTTTAAAGCACCAGCGGGGCAGAAACTGCCCAGGTTACACATCAGTTAATATACATAGCGGGTCAACGTTTACGAGGATACATGCATGCCCGTCCCCTCCTCTGCCCTTCCACCAAACCAACAAACACATTCCTCTTTCTCTATGTCTCTTTCAACTAAGTCGAATGGAGTTGCTTTATTGACATAACTATTTGTTATGCTTGAATGCTGACACAGCACGCAAAAAATGCAGCACAACAACGGCTCCTACTAAACATTCACATCATATTGTTGGGTTTAAAATATTTTTATTTAGCTTGGACATTCTGAGTCCTAATTTCCTAAATGACCAATATTAGCTTTTTCAATAACAGCTAGATGAGAAGATTTATACCACTCTATGATGTGTGTTTGATGTCTCCGGGCTAAATATGAAACTACAGCCAGCAGCTGTAAAAAGTGTGAAACAGCTAGCTGGCTCCAAAGGTGACAAAACACATCTAAAGCTTGCTATGTAACATGCTGTGCTCTCTGTCTTTCATTTGTACAAACAGTAGTGTAAAGACATACCTACATTGGAATAAAGGTGCACTCAGTCCAGCAAACATGAAGCAGAAAACGGAAAAACAAATACTTTGGTAATGGCTGAATAAACCCATCAAATACTGTCACACATTATTGACAGTGAATTATTGGTGTTATGAGTCAGTGTTTCATTTGGAATATATCAATCCACCAAAAAGCTTGTTTTCTTGAGAAATCATAATTTTTTTATGCCTTTCATTCCCACAGTCTTAAGTGTTGCTAAAATAACACGGCTAACCAATGGAGGCTGATGAGTTGAGGTGACAAAATCCAAAATGCACAGTTTGTACAGAAAAACAGTTTTTCTTCATGGATTACATTGTCAGGAAGACTGTCGACACATCACACCTTTTATCTTTTATTCTGTGTTTCCAGAGATATGTGTACGGACACGTAATGAATTTAATCGGATTTCTGAAAGGGAATTTGGCAAAATATTTTCCCCCGGGCACAGGGAGCTTGCTTTGTGTGTTTTTAACATTTTTTGGATATTACAGTTGAGGCAAAAAAGCCTCAATTGCCATTATCGTTTTGTCTCATATTTTGCCAACTGATTGCGGATTCCCATGTCTGAAAAGATTTGCGTGAGCTCTCATCACGGGTGAAAGGATGCATAGAAATGCGCACCCTTTAAGCATATTTCCCAAAATGGGAAAATATTCCCTTATGTAACTGTTCTTCAAAGTTAGTTAATGTAATTCCCCCATTGTTTGACACCATCACATATACTGTATACCCTGTATCTGCTTGTTCCATTGGTCCATTCAAATTATATGGCCCTGAGTAAAAAATAAAAATCTGAATGCTTTCAAAGAATGTGAATGTTTTGCATCACTTTATAAGCAGTTTCTATACTCAAATGGCATATTCGGAATGTTTAAAAACCTTGGGATCTTATTAGAATTCTAAATTAAGTCTTGTGGGATTGAGCAACTATGTGGATTTGTAATGATGGACCTGCCAAAGCAGAGCTTAAGCATTAGATTGTAGAACTGTTTACACTGTGCATGAAGAGCTAATAGGGATGAAAGTCAAATCTCTCATTGTAAGAATCTATTTGAGGCATTCCTTATTTGTAAAAACAGGAAAATAAACTGCTCCCCTTAAGTCCACCACTGTGCTAACCAGTATATACAGCAGACAAATATTGATAATATGGCAACACAGTTCTGAAGTTACCATCTCTTTTGTCTCTCTGCCTCTGTGCCTACAAATAACCCACCTAATAAACAGGGACTGGGACAAGCAGAGAAGCAATGCGGCCCAGACTCTGGTCTGCTTCACTGGACCCGAACACAACCATTTCATCTGTTCAGCCAGCAGGCCAAATCAAGTGGTCTTTATTAAAGTCGCTTTGATGGATTCACCCCTGGCCTCCCCCGCTGTGATCTATCGCTTGTCCGGCCCTTGGAGGTCGTAATAAACTTGTTTAGCAATGGGGTCACTGCATGCAAGCAGAGAGAGAGAGAGAGAGAGAGAGAGAGAGAGAGGTGTGTGTGTGTGTGTGTGTGTGTGTGTGTGTGTGCGTGTGCGTGTGTGTGCGGTTGCGTTTCTGCTTGTAGAGTATGTCATCCGGTGTATCAGGTGTATCGTCACGACCAGTGTGTTGTACATCCATATAGCTGCTGGCACTGGATCCACTTGTGATTATGTTTGTAGTTTTCTCACAGATTGCATCATATATTTATACACACACACATTTAAACAATGGTCAAGCACAGCAACAGCGCTGTTATCCTTTTGATTAGTTTTACTTTCATGAGCAGCTCCTGCATATTTCCTAATGGAGTTGTAAATCAAAGGCAGCTGAGCCTGGGAAAGACCTTCAGAGATTCAGTGAAGTCACACACAGAGAAGCTATTTATTTGTAAAAAAACAAAAAAAAACAAAAGAATAATTTCCTATTTTTTTAACAATATTTTTTTCCATAACCAGAGAGCAAATATTTTTCTCTTTCTTAAGTATCTCCGAGACTGACTTGAAAGAGCAGGACATGTCAAAACACCAAGGCCTGACTCACACTTCATTACGCTTGTCTCATTTCTGCAGTTGTATTAAATTTGCAGCAGTCAGAAATGAATTGCGTTCAGTAATGTTCTGTCTGTCCTTTAGCGAATGAAGCGCAACAATTAGCAGCCGTTGTAGACCCGGTCAGCCCATGTCCTTGTGTGTCGTCTTCCAGTTAGCAATGGCTGCTGTCCCCAAGCGTACACTGGGACATCCAGGTCATTGTTAGTCGAGGTGAAACCCATCCGCTTTCTAATGGGCACCACAGGGACCAGTGTTATTGGATGATTCATCAGATCAATGGCCAGAACGTCTCATCCAGCATGTGTAGCTTGTTGGAGTTTATGTAGCCTACATGGTAACAAGCACCTGGCACTGTGGATTATAGGCGCCAAAGACTATGTGTTATTTTATTGTTTAAACAAAGTAAAAATTGAATTTACAACTTCGTTCCCAGATGTTATTACAAAATGTTTCATTTTTGAAAGTAAATCACACCAGTGAAAGTGTATGATGTACTTTTATGAGCAAAATCTCTCACAAATAAACTTTTATGAGAGGTGTGCCTGGAAAGAATCGGGGATATTTCATCCTGAAAAGCCCTTTGGAAGATACAGCAAAGGGCAAAGCCTGTTGCCGCTCTTTATGGTGTTGTTTTATTAACAATGGTAAACCACTGAAGTCACTGTAGGTTATCTTACGTTATAATGTGAATGAATTGAACTACAGTTTTAAACAGGTACTGATGTTTTATAGTCAAGTGATGCTACTGGAATAGAGTTACAATCAGGGCATTGAATATAGGAATTATAACTTAATATTAGACATTACATATATCACAAATACCAAGATCAAAGTTCACAAACCATTTAGTGTGAAATCGAGACTTTATAGTAAAGAGTTTATTTAATTAGTTGACTTTCTGTAAACTATACAAAAGACTGTGACTCATTGCAGTTTGGCCATATCGCTTCAAAAATGTATTTACAGCAAACAGACAACATAAGTTTTCATACTTTGATATAAAAATAGTTATAGCGATAAAGCGTCTCTAGGTTGATCAGTTGAATTTAATATTGGTTTGAGTAACTGGTCTTATGTAAGTGCATAATTTGACGTGATCCGTTGTGTTTTGTCATATGTAGCAAAGCTCAATACCCTCCATCTCCTTCCTCCCTTAAATATAGTCTGGGCACCTTTGTGAATATATATTGTTAGTGGAATTGCTGAGGACCTGCACATGTCCCCAGGCAAGTGCTTAAGCACCCCTCCAAGATGTCCAAAAGCTGAAACCATCAACAGTCTGATCTGAACTTCCTCCCATAATATACCATTTTCTGGATATTGTTCATTATATTCATCGGAGGTGACATTCATCTGACATCACGCCATCAGAAGTTTGCAGGGCGCACCATCATGGTTGTCATTGTAGCCATCAAATTTGGACCCTTCCAATAGTACCATTTGATGCCATTGTAGCGAACCACACTGGATGAGCCGGGGTAATATATGCCATTCAGGTTGGATGGACCGCAAGCCTCAAACCACCAACCTGCAGAGGAAATATGTCAGAGAGTTCAAGGAAAAAGTCTGAATTAATTGAATTCAAGCTCATGAAATGCAACACCCAAATGTACAGCTGTAAGTCAGCAGTAACTTTATATTGCTGCAGAGGGAAAATGAAATGCACTTCGGGACATTTACAAGGGGGTGGATAGAAATGTTTAACAAGGTGGGTTATAAGGAGAGACAGATTGAGACGGCGGTAGATGAGTAGCAGAAGTTGTGGGGGTGCTGCGTACCTCCAGATGCCAGCTGGGCGCACTTGCAGGTGCAGCGGTCGTTGTCTCTGTCCTTGGTGCTGAACTGGGTGCCAGTGTGCGTGAGGCTGCTGGTCCGTCCAGCTGTGCCACTAAAGCCCTCGGCATGAAGGCTGGATTTTGAGAGTGCAGAAAAAGAAATTCAGAAAAAAACCCTGCCGCAGGTGCTTTTATGCATTATTTAAACTGCGTTAGGCAACTTTGCTTGTTGGCAGCTCCAAATGGCAGCGAGCGGTTACTGCCCGAAAAAATGTTTGAACTTCAGTTCCTCTGACATCATATAATGTTATGTCTGTAAACTGAACACAGCACAATCATGTTTACCAAATCCGCTGGTCTGTGATTCCTTAATACCACAGGATACCAAAGGGATGAGAGAGGCAAAATATCTAACTTGGTGAGTCTAACTTTCTAGACAGTTTGTAGTTCACTTTTAATTTTTCACTCTTTGTCGGATTTGCCTCTGGGCATACCTGACATTAGAGCTGAAGTTGGGCAAATAGTGCAAATAGACAGCATCTTAAGTAGAGCAAAATCCAATGCTCCTCTACTGCAGCTCCACCTTGTCATTTATAGTTTGTGTAGAGGGTTGTACTTTTAGGTGGTGTATTATTCATATTAATAGTATTCAACTCAAAATACCCTGTATAAATGATCCCGCAATCAAAGATAATAAAGTTAAGTAAAAAATAGTGAAACAATATAAAGTAGTAAACACCTCTAAACCATTGGAGGAGATTATAGCCCTTTTAGTATATGTACAATACTTTTTAATACAAGGTAGCATCTCCCCTAGTTGCCAAACATCAATACAAAAACTAACCTAAAGAACTTCTCATTATTTTTCCTCCATGCTGTGCTTTGTGAAACAACCCAAACAGTCTGAAAGAAATCTCTGCCCAAGTTAAATTGATTTGCTCAATTATTTTCACACAGCGGCCCAGCAGAATCTGTGTGTGTGTGTGTGTGTGTGTGTGTGTGTGTGTGTGTGTGTGTGTGTGTGTTTGTCCATCGGTGTGTGTGTGTGTGTGCCAGTTCTGGTTTGAAGAGAGTGGACGAGGAGGTCAGCCCTGCTGTCTGGCCTCTCCTCTGCCCTGTCATTCTGTCTAGTTAGTACTGGACTCTCCCCTGAGTTATGTGACCCCCCTCCATAGCCCAGGGCACGCTGTCTGTGATGACTAAATGAAGAATCCTCCTCTTGAATTTGTAAGTTCAGAGGGCAGGGCAACACATCATGATGGGCAGCAAGAAGGGAGTTTGAAATGACAGTGCAGGGGACAGGAATAATGATGGCACAAGCAGAGACGCTGGAATAATACATGTGGGGGATATTTCGTTAGACGGCTTTAACTTTTCTCTTCATGAAGTATCGGTGGTGTGGAGAAATTTAAAATCTGTCAAATTAGACAGGATGGCAACCACAGGCTACAGGATATCCTATTGGAAAGAGTGGCCCCGTGGACTGTGCCAGCTCTTCCTACTTCCCAAAACATTTGCATTAGCCATGACTTCCTGATGTATTAGTTCAGCTATTCCGCCAATACCGCAGACCACAGGCTAATCCTTTTCAAGGTGACTGTCTTTTTATATTGTTATCGTATCCTTTAATGACAAATGTACTGTTGCATTAAAAGGAATGCCTTTACTATAAGAACGGCTATTCTTGGCTACCTCAAAGGGGAAAGTGGTCTGTCATGCTGATGATTAATGTATGAATAATGTTACTGAGTTTTAGGTGAAGACCTCCATGTTGCTCTAGGGAGCGACTGGATGCAGCTGAGGAGGCTTTGGCTGACTGGCTGCATAGCACCACAGCTCTGACTTGGGAGTTATAATATGAACCCACAAATGAAGCCAGCATCTTCAGCATGCTAGTAAAGCTGGTACATATTGAACTAGTTACACAGAACATGATCTCAGAGGTAGCAAGCTACAGAGGTGATTATATTCATTCAGGTGCTTCACCTCACACGGTGTAGCCTACAGCAACATTGTGAAACATTCAGTTTCATCGCGCTAATTATGTGGAACAAACTCAAGCAAATGCAATTTGCTGCACTATTAGGGAGCTTGGAAGGCATACACCCACATATGACTATGATTTGTCATCTCTCAGAGCATCAATCTCCATAAACTTCCCCAAAACAAGAGCAAATTCCTGTGAATTTAAATTAAATCTAAACTGAACTATTTTGGTTTGTATTTGATTTCTGTCTGTTTTTGGGGGAAGCATGACTTCAGCACACCCACACATAATCTTGTTAGTGATTGCAGGGTTAGCGGGGAGCTTGGTTTGAGTTGTCAGTTCCTGGCAGGGGCAGGTATTGCCAAGCGTTCCTGTTATACTCCAGTGGATGTGGCTCCCCTTTGGGGATTTTCAGGGGCAGCGGTAGCTGCGGTGATGGGAAAAGAAAAATGGAGGCAGTGGCTGCATGCCCTCCACTAAGCTCATCATTTTGAATGGCATTCTTAAAAATGGTCCAAGTGGTTCCTTAACTTCAGTGCTCAGGGATAAGCAAGCTTAGAGAAGAAGAGAATAGGAAGGTCAATAACCATTTCCAATTCATCGTGATATTAAGAGTCTTGCACCCAGAGAGAAGGCAGAGATTGACAGGGTGTTACTGCATTGCAATTATGCCTTTCACAATAGACACTTTACTGAAATGAAGGACCTTCATTATGGTTCTATTCATGTCTGATTTCTGACAAAGTGAAAGAAGTCCATGTACTAATTACTTACACTTTTGGTAATTGGATCATTTAATGATTCAAATAGTGAATTTTTATTTGAGCATAGCATCATTACAAGCCAAATTAAATTGGCCTGCATGTTCTGTTATAAATTAGAGTAATATGTCATGCTGTTAGGTTACCTGTAGTTGTTGTCCTCTCCGTCTATGCAGAAGCGATCATAATGTGAGAAGGCTTCATTCCCCTCTCTGTCTTTTAGCTGGACATGCAGACTGTATTCCTGGGAGCTGGTCAGCTTGTGGATGATATCATTCCCCAGCCAGTGTTCCCCAGACGGCTCTCCAAAGCCCTGGATTAGACACAAAGACAGAGAAACAATAGAAAAAGAAAATATTCTAACAAGGGGGCTGATTTTACCATGGACCTGCCAAGTGTTTTTGGAGTTAATACGAAAATGGACCTCAATTTAAGAAGTCACATTTATCATTCTGATGGGCTAAGGCTGTCCACTAAGTTTATGAAGTGAAATACTCCCAAAGCTAGGGACTGGTCAATTGAGACTTTAATTTGCCCTAATATCCTACCAGTGATCCATCTATGCCTGCAACACTTGCAGTAAAATAAAAACTGGCTTTGTGGTCTGTTTGTTCGAACTTTGGAGCTGGACCTGAACACAAGTTTTCTATCTCATTTTTGGCAATGGAAGACAACACTGACTAATAAACTGCAAGAATATATATATTAAAAAAAAATACATTTAGGTAAGAAATGTTCTGCTTTGCTACTTAAAAATACAGACAGTTGAAGCTAAACAAATGCAGATTGTTCCATACAGGTCACACAGGGGGTCAACGTGCTTTAATGAGCATGAAGAATTACCCCATTAAAACATAAAATGTCCTAATACTATAACCTCTCTGCACTGAATTGCCCCCCTCAAAATTAGTAGCTGGTTCAATGCTGTTAGAGGGCTTCTCGTTTGTAGATTGTATAAGCTGTATCAATAGAGAGTTTGCCAAACTAGGATTTATGTTATAATGTATAAATAGATAAATAATATAAGTAAATGACCTAACGTTAGCTAGCTTCATCGTAGCCAGATATCAATTAGGCATCAGCTAATGCTAGTAGACAGGAAACAATCCCTCAGTTATATTCTAACCCCATCACATTTATATTTTATTCTCTGCGGTCTCCAGACATTCAGAGCTGAGTAGAACCTTCTTCAGTATGTGAAATTGTAACATTAGCTCAGCATCCAAAAGACTGGGAGCTGTCAACAGAATCAATTTAGATGACTGATATCGGATATCTTTTTTCTTTATTCTTTATTGATATCTTCAACTTCAACTGTCAAATGTTACTTGTTATTCACTTCTTTGTGATAACCATAACTGGAAACTACATTGCAGTCATCATTAAATATGCTACTTGTAAATGCAATGATTAGACTACAAGTCAGAAAAAAGTCATTTTAGTAATTCCTGTAATGAAGGTAGTCTAGTGTTATCTCTAAATGTGAACTACAGTACATTTATCTGGGTTTCTAGATACAGATATATGCTATATATGCTATTGCTATATGTCTAATATAAAAAGGTCAGGTCTAATTACCTATTATATTCACACTCAACAGGTTTACAGTTTTCATAATAGAATTTATTTTCCACTTTGGCTGGAACAGTGACCCCGTCCCACACTGTTATGGCTCAAACACTGCTTGGGAGATTTTTTGACATACATGTTAGACAGTACTCTCCACCATCATCAAAACATCCATTGATTAAATATCTTTTGGAGGAATGGTGTTCATTCCTCCATTAGAGTTTAAAGACGTGTAGAAGGCAACAAACATTGAAACTGTTCTGGCAGCCTTACTAAGACACACTATTGTAGATTTTTCTTTGAGCTTATTAAACCATGGCTACATCATAGGGAGGTGGAATATGCAGAGACTGGTATATCAAAGAGAAATGTCAAGGATGTAACTCCAACTGTCAACGTTAAACGATATGAACAGGTGGAAGGCACAGTAATATTATTATGACTTCACAAAGGAAACCGCAGCATTAATTGAAAATAGATACACGCTTTGGCTTTGACAGAAATGGGTCACTCCAGGGATATGACAATAACATGTAACGTCCCATTCAAAGGCATCTCGCCTTAAAAAGATGGACGAAATATGGTTTCAATTATTGAATTTCACGGAGGGCTGGAAATTTGCTTGACTGACACAACTGAAAGTGAGGAGTTGATTCACAGTGTGAAAAAGACAGTAAGGATGCATATGTTATCTGGTCAATAAGCATATAACTAGGACTGACTACTTCTATAATTACACCTTCACTGTGAACAATCAAACTCTACATCTGCAGATTCGAAGCATTCTTTTCTTCGGTGTGAGAGAAGGACCTTTTCTCCTTGTTTACCTGTGAATTCTAAGTCACTTTGTCTAGCTGTCATACTCGCTGTTTGTTATTGGTCGTAAGTGAGAGTAAATATATATTGAGAGCCTTGGAGCATTTATCATTTTACCAGCAGGCCTGGGTGCAACATTTGATCAACACTGACCACATTTTATGAGAATATTGAGTGTGGACGAAGGCAGTGAAGTATTTCAGTACATATGTTATCTGCCATCTACAGGGCCCCTGTGCTCCCACGCCCCAACTGGAACCAAATATTTATCATCCACTTGTAAAAATATTGTTCTTGAAAGAGGTTTTTAAGCTTTTTGTGGTCACTCTCTTCCTCACTCTGTTTGTAGTCACAGTCTTCTCTGTATTTTATTTCCTACGCATGCTGCGGCAATTGATTTGTTGGCGTGGGTGAGAGACAAATTGCTACTCCGCTCAATCCCAAACTAGCCTCGCTCATTTGTTCCGTGTGTAATTTAACACAGTCGAAAGGGCTTACAAGCATGTGTTTTTCTCTGTTTTTCTTTATTGCGCAAACACAATATCGATTCTATTGAGAAAACGTTATGATGAGATAGAAAAAAGCATTATCTAAATGTAAGTCCAAAAACAAAATATAGTTAGAGTCTCTTGTGGACAATTTTATTATATCCAGTTTGTATTTGGAAATGTTGTTACTTTCATCACCACACACTAATTTCCCTACACGGGAAAGCTATTGGGGTTTTAAAGATGGATACAAACAGTAGTGCTCTGTGGGTCAATGAAGTACATGACTTGTGTGTGTGTTTGTGCACGAGCGTGTGTATATGGGTGTGTGGGAGTATGACAGGGAGAGGGAGCGAGAGCAGGTGCAATAACATGGGGGGTGGTAGAGAACATGAGGGCGGCCAAATACAACAACCGCAGGTCACCTGGGATCACAGGCTAGCCGGTATCCCACGCCTCTCCGTGCCAAACCGTCCGTGGACGTTATTGGAACCTCCTGTCATTCCCGCAATACTGATCCACACTACCTATACTGACAATGATGCACCTTAACCCTAGCCTCCGCAGAACTCACCATTTTGTAGTCCCTCCACCCACGATGGAAGTCAACGGAGCCGTTTCTCCGATGCTGCAGCACTGTCCACCCACCACCTCTAGTCTTCATATCACAGAACACCTGTAAAAATAAAGGCACATTACACCAAGATTCTATTCTTTAGGACTGGGTTACACAAAAAGAGTTGGTGAGATTCTTCTGATATGATCAGATGTTTCCCATTTTTAAAGCTGAAATAGTGGATTGTTTTTGCCACTTGGGGGCAGCGGAACAAGCGGTAAACACAACATTGATATATTAACTCCTAATAGAAGCCACATTTGTCTCAATAATTGTACACATTCACTAGAAGCAGAGCATTGCTTTGGAGTTGTGTTGCAAGCAAATGTAAATCCATTATTTACTATTTAATCTCCACCAGCTGCTGAGATACAAGTCAGTAAAGTCAGATCTGACATTTTAGGGGACATAAACATAGGAAAAACACATTTGTGAGTGGTGGGGATCTTTAAAGCTGTCATACAAAATTAAAATATATTATTATTTAACACTGGAGGCTAACCAACCAAAAACAAATTGAGATGACATCACATCTTACAACATTGGAGGGGTCTACAAGTGGAAAGTTGTGATAAAAATTGCAAGAAATGACAAGAAATATAGCACACCATTAGTGTTTATGTAATTTGAAGAATGCTGTGGAAGCTTCTGGAGGGTGGGGGTGGGCAACATTTCAGGGTGACACGCAATGATATGACCCAGGTGGGAAGGAAAAACTAATGTATCAACATGTTTTCTTATCCCCTTGAGTGGGGGTTGAGGAAGAGGCATCTGTGTTTTTGGTTACACACACTCTTTTCTTTCTTACTTGACTACATATTTTGCCATGTGTAGATACTGTATGTTTGGGAGAACAAATAGGAATGAATTGCACTTATTCATCTAGTGACAGAATTTGAAATCTAGACTTGTTAAGGGACTTGTTTTACACATTCAAGGTGTTAAACTGGACATATTCCAGCTTCCCTTAGGTATCGTGATTAAATGACTGTGTGAATTTCTTCCGTGGGTGGTAAGATTAGATGCTTTTTGTTACTGAAATCCTTTTTAATTGAAGTGCATTCAGCCTGCATACCTCAAGGCTGCCGGGTGGTACTTTTCTTAGACACTGTGTTTGAATCTCAGTGTTTTCACGTCAAATTATAGATATTGCCAGTGACATTTCTGACTCAATTACAACCTCTACAACCTGCAGTGTGGATCATTATGGATGAAACCAAATTGATTTGCTTTACCGGTTTCTTGACTGTTGTTCACCAAACAACCGCCCTGACCTGTCTCAAGGGTCATGCAGTATAGATGCTGGTATGTGCACAGCATCCCAAGGGGTCTCTCGATTTCAACGTCTCTCCTGGCTATTTTCTGCTAGAAATGAAATGAGAGTTTCCAGCTCTTTCCCAGAATAGGAAAGCTAAATCAAGGTCAAAAGGCACTCAGATCTTTGACTTCAGAAAACAGAACAGACTGGCAATATGCTGTGATTATCCTCTAGGACATTAAGCCATTGGTCTGGCCTTAAAGGCATCACGCTGAATATAAAAACAGGGTCTTAAAATAAAATTCTGTGGTCGTTACTCTGATTTTGATCAGATCCATATTTAATACTTCAAATTCACTTACTATTATTATTAGCCAGCAAGGAGTTGCATGGGGCCAAACCCATTACAATAAAATGCAGAAATCCAGACAACTAAAGCATTATTATGATTTTAAAAAAAGATTATGCAGTAGTTATTGTTTGTAAATGGCTCTCGGGGGAAAATGTTACTTCACAATATGTGTTTAGTGAGAAGCAGAGAGAAAGAAGCCCTAATGTGTTTAATTTTATGAGCCCTGTGCAAAAGTATGCACAACAGAGTTCTGAAAAATTGAAAAAGAAGTCGATCCAAACTATTAATTATTTGGTTTATAAACATCATCATTATTCACATTGGTCATTAAGAGTTAGGTAGATGAATGGATCTCATATAGGAATATCTGCATTTCGCACATGTGTATGCTTTTTGTCTCTTGTCCAACTGAAAAAGCCTGCTCTCTGCTTTGAAAATGGGGCAATTTGTATCTGCCCCACTTCTTTTACGCAGCCACCCAGATTACCAGCCACATTGGAATTAGATGGCATAGATTGAAAGCAGCAATGATTTGGGGAGTACTAACATCAGTGGAAACGTACATTGGCCCCAGTTGGCAGGAAACACATGGCACCAATGCCTAACACCTGGCTGCCTTACCCACAGGAAATGAAGAGGAAGAACAGGGGAAAACAGAGTCGATAGGAGATGGTGCCAGCCAGCAAACTAGACTGAAAGTAATGAATAACAAAAAACTGTTTCACTGTTATCCATCCTCTTCTGTGGAAAGCTCTGAGAGTGAAGAACCCAGCCAAGAATGCTGTGATTCAAAGAAAGGATAGCCTGCTGGTGGATGTCATGGTTGACTTGGCAAGGAATAGCTACTTCAGGTCAGCAGAGGTACCTTCTAAGCTCTTCTGACTTTGCATTCAGCAGTGCACACTCACTCACCATGAAGCCTGCGGGGCATAATGCTCCTGTTGCTTATTATTTTAGCTCTCAGTAACCCAGCATGGCATTTCCATCAACCTCCATACCCTAAACCCCTGCAAATTACCATTACATCAGAGTAGTTTGTCCTCCCAGTGTTTACTGCGGTCCGACAAATAATGATAAGCCGCCTGAATGCCATTATGTAGTGTGTGTGAGCGTTACATTATGTAGGCTGGAGTGAAATTACGCCAGTACTAAATATGAACTTACCAAAAAAGTTTCACGTCACAGGAAGTTAGGTGATATTTGCAAGAAAAGGCCAGTGACCTTTAAAGTTTTACTACCTTGACAGTCTGGGTGGAGTTGGGGAGACGTATGCTATATATTCCACTCTCTGTCGCTCCTGATCCCAGGATCTCCGCACAGTCCCTGAAACTAAGCGGCTCCTCCTTGGGAACGTTGGAGATTTCTGTAAAAACATACAGGCATTTATTTACAGATGGCAACCTTATGGGTTTTGCACACAAATCCCAACCCAATATGTGAGTTCTCTTGTAATGTTAAGCTGTGGCTTAAGCGTGCAATGTCTGCGGTGCATGCATGTACGTAGGGTGAATTACAAGCTGCTCTAGGTGTGATTTTTGTTGTAAAATGATGAAACCACAAATCTCATGCATTAAATTCTGGTATTTATTGATGCTATTAATCAGGGTTTTTTTGCACTAGTAATGAATCATAGGAATGCAATGTATAATTGTACATACTAGTAAGTACTTCATTATTTCATATTGTTAATATTTGCTTCTCTCTTTTAAACCTACACAACATTTTCCTTATGTAAATATATCTTTCCATCTATCTTATCTCTTGTTTAAAATGCTGGCAGTACAATTTGCTCATACAAAGACAGCAAACCCCTCAGCCTTACCATTGCAGTGGTTGACCATAGCCAGCAGCTGCTGAACGGTGTCCGTGAGCACGGCCTGCTGTCTCTGTAGCGTGGTGCTGTTGAGTGTGGAGCTTCCCAGTTCACCCTGGAACTGACTGACCAGTCGACTCTGCCTCTCCAGAAGCTCTTGAAGCTGCTGCTTTTCGCTCTCCAAGCCCTGCAGCTCCCTCCCATACCGAGCCTCCAGCGCTAAGAGCCTCTGTTCCAGAAAACTGCCAAAGCCAAAAGCAAAATATCATTATGAGTCTAGTGTTGACTGAAGACACATCACAGTGCACTGGAGACAAGTAAAAGTACAAAGACATATTATCATATCAAGTGTTAAAATGCATATTGAATGGTACGGGTGGCAGAAGATATAAGAGAGTGGTGGCAGTTGGAAAATCCATTCATTCAGGATTTACCTTTACAGCAGAGGTTGCACAAACTTGCACATTTACATGAGGATGACTAATAGACATGAGCGTGACAGTCTCATTGGGCTAACATCATATAAACACCTGTACTGCAGCAGCATTCACAGATGGGCCTGCATGCTAAGCCTCTCGATCATAGCCACGAGGCAACAATCTGACAACGTGTGCGCTGTGTGTGCGTGCGTGCCCAAGTGCCACACCCCCACCTCCAAATGAAGATCATAAATCCCTGCTGCCGGATCTTTATGGCTTTGACTAACGACTCTGCAGCAGTTATTTATTGAAACAATCCAGCCACCCAGATTGAACAAGCTACTTTTCAGCCCTGTGCACACACAGCCGCTGCACTAACATGTATCCTCAATCTCCCGCTTTAGGCAGCGACTCAGTATGTGGCCTGGAAGGAAAGCTGGATCAATCCAAATCATTTTTAGCATCCCTTCCATTTCATATTTGCTTTGTGGGGGAACACTCAATAAAAGTGGCAAACCGAGCTAACAAATTGTTCTCCATTATGTGTATTTTACTTTGAGGAACAGTCAATGTGTAGTGCGCAGCGGTAAACCAGCACAGCAATGTTTAAACAGTTAGAGGGTTTGACAGAACAAACATGGCATTCTGGATCACATTGCATCCTGGGCAATTAAATTGTTATGCTTATGATCTTGTGCTATTTATTATTATTGTAATATATATTGCTATTAGACTGCTCTCACACTCTTTCCACAAAATTCTCATCTCCCTGCCAATAGTATTTTACATTTAATGCCTGTGAAAACAAACATGTCTCTGCTCTTTTTGGTTGGCAGCGGTTCAAATTCTGGCTTCATGCCCTCAAGGATCAGCGGCAGTAGCCCCCTACAACCTGCAATCCTCATTTCCTTTTTATTCCACAGCTGGCTGGCTGCAAATCTACTATGACCTTTCTAATTTCATGGGTCCCGTCATGGCGTTTATCCTTGTGAAGATGAATTCATTTATTTACATGTCAGAGCCATGTCACCGACTTGAAGGACGAGGGCCAGAGGGCAGAGCGGGGCCTAGCAGGGCCAGATGTGTAACAGGTGTTAGAGCTGGGGCACTGTGTTCTCCACAGTCACACTTGGTACAGATGGATGGAGACATAAACAATCAGATACAAAGAGAGAAAACAACCCGCTCCCTTTCACACCGCCCAGCACCCTGTCCTTAAACCCTGCTGGCCTTAATTTGACCTTGTGTTCCTAGAGAGAAGAATGGGAAACCCCTCCTAACATGCACTGCCTATTCACTGGCAAACACACACACACATGCCTGCACAATACACATTATATGGTTGTTAAGTGCCCTGTTTTTCAGATCTGCAGAAGTCACTCAGCATATTCTTTTCCAGCTGTTGTTTCATACCATATTCAGAATACAACATTTTTGAAGCCCTTATGCCACCCAGTGTCAAGTAGCTTTTTCCTGAGATCCATTCTTTGGTGCTCAAGAAGAGATGTGTGTTATGTTTCCTACAGCAACCACAACAGCTCATTTGGAATCAGTAAGGGAAAAGCAGCAAAGAAAATAGCGCCACCTACAGTCTCTAAAGACTCACAAACAGAATATCCAAAAAAAAAAAACACTCAAATTTCGGCATAATATAACCTTGTGTTGTCCAAAAGTTTGAGAAAAGGGGGAAATAAAGTGCCTATTCTCTAAATCTACCATCAAACCCACCTCAGAAGTGTTGCAGTGCCTAAAAAATTATTTTGAGGTGTGTGTGTGTACTCACCTGTTTTTATCACTGAGGCGCGAGATCTCCTGAGTTTGCAGGAGAATATGTTTCTCCAGCCGGTTAGTGAAGAGCGAGTACTCGAGCAGCTGGATCTCCAGGCGACTGGTCTGGTTTAACACCTATAGATTGATCAAATAAATAAATAAATAGCAGAAGAATAACTGTCACAGGTTGAAGAATGGGTGGGAGTGATGAGGGACACTGATGAAAAGACTGATGGAGCTGAATTATTAAAAATTACCCTTGGGGATGAGTAATGTCGCACAGCACATCACAAGGCTCATAATGCTATTTCTTTGATCTTAGAATGAAAACGTGTGCAAGAATTATCTCATACCTCACACCTGTGACATGTTTTTGAAGTTGGAGATGAAACAAAAAGTTAAACAAAGCAGCTCAGCTATTTGTACAGGTTGCGGTTTCATATCGACTTTGATAAGAGAAAAAGAAAGCATGGGGACCAAACAGCCCAATCTGTAATAACAGCTCTGTGGCATGATTGAAGACACATCTGTGTTGTGCTACTAAGTTTTATGTTTTAATTGGCTTGTTGTCAGACACCGAGCTCAGCTCGTTGTGTCAATCAGACCCTGTAGAACCAAATACCAGCTGTTTTAAAGCAGTTGCCGCCACCTTTGGGCATGGCTTCTCAGCGGGTTACATCTGATTTACATTCAATTAGCTATTCGCCAAGTGTTTCGCAAGTGACATCATTTGTTTTGGCATGGGTGTGACCCGCACAGTTGTTCATTTGGATTGGCTGCAAACAAGTTATCTCAGGCTCACTAAAACGCTTCCTGATGGGCTCACCTGGGTCTCAACGTCTGTCAGTTTGCGGGTCTGCTCGGCTGATTGGCTGAGGAGGTTGGTTCCCATTTCCAGCATGGCAGCTGTCTGGGTGTGTACGGCCGTTCTCTTCATTTCCTCCATCCCAGAGCGCACATTCTCCTGGATGAAGTTCTCCAGCTGTAAAAGAACAAACAGACTGAGAATATTATCCAGGATGTCAGATCCCCTGGTTTCATTGCGGTGATAATCATATTTAAGGAGGTATGTTCATTGACTAATGCAGTGTGAAAGTAGAAACCCTGGAGTCTTTTTCAACTCTTTTCAGGTATTACAATGGAGTCATAGAATATGCTTAGGGTGCTTACAGTGTCTCGCCATCCATCTATTCATCTGCAGCTCTACCTCAGGCATACCAACCCCTACATTAATAATTATGCAGTGTATAGGCATTTCAATGGGATTTCAAAAAGAGCAGTAATGACACTAAGAGGCTGACATTATGATATTCGTGTACAGGACTTCAGGGATAGTTGCCTGCACTCTGTAATAAATAACAAGCCCAGAGAAAGAAGCATTGGCAAAACCCATCATATGTTGCACCAGGAGTATAAATAGGATGACATCCATCTTGCTCCAATAAATAGATTTTCTTATTAATGTGGTCGGTTGGAGCAAACGGCATCTTGAAGACAAATTTAGCTTTTCCGACCGTGAACAATGAAGTTTTGCTTGATGTTTAAAGGGCAATGGTCTGTGCCTAGCAATAAGGCAGAGTAGAATATTGAACAATAATATTTATGACTTTTCTAGGGAGTGATCAGACTTTACTCATTAAACCACATGACTGGAAAATGAAGTCTCGAAGGAGAAAGCATTCAAAACAATCCAGCTAATGGGTCGGTATTTGCAAAAATCGAAGAGAATTCAAATGAGAATAAGATTGTTTTTTTCAATGCAAATGCCCATTTCAGAGAGGAATGAGATTATGATAATGCATTGCCACAGGAGAGGGATTTTTCTATTTTTTATGCAGTATAAAAATACTGATTCAAGTGGGCAAATAGAGATGAATGGCCAATTAAATTGTTTGCCTCCTTGTAGTCTTTCTCTCTTTGTCTCTTACTTCCTCTTGAGATCTCTCACTAACTCCCTCTTTCATTAAAACACCCCCCCCTCCTCCCACTTGCTCTGTAAATCCATCTCTCACATTTTGCTACCTCAGGACAACTGAGACGGCCGAAAAAATCCCCTCATAACGAAGGTTATGAAGAGATTACCAAGCGGATTAAAGCCAACTCCAAAGGAAGAACCAAAGATCCCTGCATCATAATCAGCCTCGTGTATTGAAGCTGCTATCAGCCGCCTGTCCAAAGTGTGCCTATTACAGCCGTCTGTGATAGAACTCAATCCAGAGGTCTTGATACACTCCATCTCCCACTGCCATTTGCATTAATTGCTGCTCTGTCACATTCTGCTCCATGCTGCCAGATAAATCACATTTGGGACACAGTATAATTCTGTCTTATTGTGTCTAGCAACATAGAAGGGATCAGTGCTGAGAAAATCCTTGGAGTATCACTTGATATCTTAATTGGTGAGCCAATAGACACATTTGTTCTCAGTTACAATTGCAGAGGAGAGGGGGAACATATCTGGTGCTCTGGAAAATGATAATGATGGGCTGAGAAAAGATGGCTATGATTGTGAGGAACGATACATTTCTGTCAAAAAATGACTGATATGGCAGTGCCGCACGATGTAAATCCACCTTTCGCCCAAGATACATTAAGTGTATTGTAGGCCTTAAAGATCAGCGCACTAAAATGACAAAGAAGCATTTTTTTTTTTTACGAAAATAAGCAGCAAAATCTCCTTCTAGAAACAATCTCTGCGTTGTTCTGATTAATCCATATATCTCACTGTGGACAGTTTTCATTAAAATTACTTTCTCTTAATTAGTTTGTCCCAATGAGTGGTTGATAGCATGCTCTTGGGGATTTTTTTTCCGGAGAGAGATGTTGCTGTGGAATTGTTTTCGTCTGGAGTTTGGCAGTGTCGATCCACCACTTTAGTCTCCGTGGAAACATCTAAAAAAAAAATAGAATGGATTGCCATGAAGTTTTGTGCAGACATTCATGGTCCCTAGCGGAATTACTTTTGTGATCCTTGACATTTCATCTAGGTCAAAGTTACTAAATGGATTGGAGCCATACTTTGTACAAATATTTACAGTCCCAATATAATATATCTTAATTACCTTGATGACCCCCTGACTTTTCCTGTAGTGCTATGATGAGGTTGACATTTGTGTGTTTGAGTGAAACGTCAACTACTGGATGGATTGCCTTAAGATTTGATACAGACATGTATCCCTTAGGATGTATTGTAATAGCATTGGTGATTTGTCCAGTCCTTTGGTTTATGGCCAAACGAATGACAATCCCAACAGCCCCATCTGTCCTCCATGTTTAGTGCTGGTTTGCTAATGTTTGCATGCTAACAATGGAAACTAAGATGGTTAACATGGTAAAAGTTAAACCTGCTAAGCAGCAGCATTGGCGTATGCTGAGCATATGGACATTAGCATTTAGCTCAAAGCATTGCTGTGCCTAAGTAAAGTCTTCTTGTTTAAAGCATTTTTTCAATGCTCTTAGCACCACAAACAAAATTCCATTCACCGCTGTCATTACAGATGTAGAAATCTCAAATTCTTGGCCAGATAAAACCAAAACTATATCTTGCCGAGATGCCCCTAGAGATATATAGAAAGAAAAATGTTTTTGTAATTTTGACAAACTGACTTTTAAAGGCGATAGTCTGAGATTGTTTAAGAAGAAGGAAATGGGTGTATGTTTAAGGAAATAAAAGAAAATGGAGACCAATTTGATAATGTGAGTAATTTGTGTGACATACTTTAGTATTGGCTTAATGAAATATTACTGGGCCAAGAAATCGGGTTGCCAAGGGTAGCCACCATGATCTCTTTGCAATATTTCTGCATTAGCATAATCCGCACAGGCTCTTAAAAGCACTAACAAAAGCATGCTCACATCCCTTTTTGCAAACCCTCAGGGCAGGAGAAGGCGAAAGGGACTAGATGGGGGGGGGGTTACGTTGGGGGTTAGAACAAAAGAAAACAAACATACTAGTTTCTACTTGGAAACACCAAAGAAGGAATCTGGAACATGAATACAGTCCTGTTGCACTCGTCTACTTTCAGATTCCTCTGCGGAACATGCTGAATTAGTCTGTGTGCTCTTAAGTTTGTGTGTGGGTGTGTGTTTTCTTTCAAGGGTTTTGGGTGGAAGGCTCACAGTAAGAATCATACCATCCCTGGGGAGCTTTGAGTGCGATCGTATAAAGTTTCACAGACACACCGACACACATGCCTCAAGCTCTTCCGCATGCATATTGCCAATTTCTCCCCAGGCGTATGCAGATAGGCTTAATGAGCTCCACAAGGTGCTGAAAAGGCCTTGCCATCTGGGGTCAAAGGTCAGTATACCCATGTGCATATCTAAAAGAGGCTCTCCAGGGTCGCGCTGTGTTTGTGTGGAAATCCCACCTACAGCGAGATCATTTATGCATCACTGTGGCCTGTTGGGGGTAACTTGGTGAAAGGTTGGATCTTTGTGTTCATTCCAGACGTTATGTGGAGGAAGTTTGGCAACAGTACAAGATATGTGTCAGCAGAGCTTTTTCTGATTTAAACAGTATTTTCGTTATGACTGCTCATATCACAGCTCTGGTGAGGAGAGAGTGGGAAAGAAGAGACTTCATGCTACACAGAATATGTCCAAGACATGTGTAAAATGTGATGCTTTTGTATTTTACAATTTAGTGCTTTGCGAGATGTATGCATGAATAATGAACTGCATGAAGGAACGTGTGTGTGTGTGCTCCCTCACTTTCTCTCCCTCGCTCTTTCTCTCACATACACATACACTGTGGCCTCATGGGATGCTTCCCATGGAAGCTAGGTCTCCAGTTCATAGACTGAGCATCAGACAGAGTGTACACAGGGGAACTGAATGTGTATGTTTTCATATGTGCGATTCCGAGTGCGTGCCAGGAGAGCGTGAGCGAGATAGACAAAGAGTTCGAGATCTGATAGTCGAGAAGTCAAGGTGTGAGTTGAGACACATTCATCATCCCGGAGGTGCAGAACGGTCCAGATAGAAGTGAGGGAGATGGATAGAGAGGAACAGGGTGTCAAAAGAAAATGGACGCTGGGGAAAGGGAAGGAAAGAAAAACGCAGACAATTTTGTGGTGAGCGAGAGCTAGAGTGGAAAGTGACAGGAGCACAGGAAGAGCTTTGGCACTCATAATACCCCATTTTCCAATCCTGAAATATAATCAACATGTTTGCTCTCAGACGGCCAATCCAAACACTCGACACAAACCCTTATAATCGGCCCAAGGATTAGTGTATACCATAAATATTCTGTGAGTGATGCAGACAAGAATAGAGAGACGGGTGGAGAGCAGTGGCATGTCAGTCAGTCTCTCCCAGACAATGGCCCAACACTGATTCTGTGCCCTGATGACCTTAGCAATGAAAACACTATTGTGAAGCCACTTTTAATCGCATCATTTCATTTTAGTCAGTCATAATCTGAGCTAAATGGAATTGCAAAGGCCAACAGCCCGGAGAGAGAAGCTGAAATGTGTCTCCAGCAGATAAACAAATATTTTTCACTGAGGAAAGTGTTATATTTGTGTGTCAGCTGAGTCTGGTACAGAGAAGTTTTAAACGGGCTAAACCATGAGTCAAAAGTGAAGTTTTCATGTTCTTGATGCCTTTTGGGGGGGAATACTAATTTAGCAGGTTTAACTGTGTTAGACATATTTGGCATCGTCTGATATGAGCAAACTTATTTCATCTTGTCTTTCTCCTCTCGCATGCAACAGGGAGTTCTGGCATCCCAGTGGTCTTAAATAAAGACACACACTCGTACACCAGGCGTTGTCATGGAGCCAGATATGCATACAGCAAGCATCCAGGAAAATCCCAGCTAAGCACTGAACTTATCAATAATGAAGGCTTGTCAACAGATGTTATTGGATAGTGTATCCTGTGGACATCCCATGCTTCTTTTTGTCAGAATTCAGTTTGAAGGTCTGCAGGCTGCAATGTGACATGTGGAAACAGACAAGAGGAAGTCAGTGTGACAGCAAAGCAGAGACATACCTTCTGTAGCCACTGGGTGTTATTCTCCATGGCACTCTCCAGACTCTCCAGCTTCCTCTCCTGCCAGGAAGGCCTTTCCTTTTGGGCCTGCCCCGGCTTAGGTTGGCTTGTATCGGGCTCTGCCTCGGGTGGGGAGTCCCTCTGGAGGGTGTTTGTGACTTGGAAGTCCTTTAAGGGATGGCAGTGCTCCACCTCAGGGAGGATGAAGGTGTAGCTGCAGGCGCCGTGCTGCACGCGGTGCTGTCGGCGCTCTGAGCCAATCGCGGTGGCCAGCAGGTAGGCCAGGTAGGCGAGGGTCAGGGCCAACAGGCGGCCCATGTCAGGGGAAAGAGAGGGAAAGGGGAGGGAGGGAGGAGAGGGGAAGAAGGAGGTCACTCCACCTGGCAGAGCAGAGAAGTGGGTCAGGTAAGTTTCCCCTTTGGCCCTCTATCTCTCCTGTATCTTTTTCCGACTCTTGTTAAAGTGTCCCTCAAGACTCTGTCTTCCTACTGTCTTCTCAGTCCAGCCCCTGCTGCTCCTGTCTCTGTTTTATCACTTTCTCCTCTCCTCTTTTGGCTGGTCCTCCTCTTTGCTGTTGCATCCAGAAGTCTTCTTCTGCCCAGTTCCTGTTCCCGCTGTTCCTCGTGAGGACAGACAGAAAACACACACAGGAAAAGGGGATTGCCTCCTATTGTAACTCTAACAATCAGCCAGCGCATGCAGCTCAGTCCAGGAAACCAACAGCAGACTTTCCCCCCACCATTTATCTCTCTTCTGAAAACTTGCTTTACTCACTGCCTTCTTTTCAAGCTGCTGGAGTCCATGCGTTGGTCCGGAGGAGATGGAAGAGGAGGGGTGGAGTGGAGAGTGGCCCGCTTCAGGATGTTGGCTGAAGTGGTAAAGCTCTTAAAGTAGAGAGAGAGAGAGAGAGTGGCGAACCTCTCTACACACACCTACACACACACCTACACATACACACATATACACACATGCACCTCCTTAGCACATAATCACTCAGCCACCCTTCCCTCTATCACTTTCTGCCTCTCTCTTGCGGTACTCCTGTTTGCGGGGGTTCGAAGAGGAAGCTACAAAAATACACACAGCCACTCTGCTCACCACAAGAGCAAGAACTAGGAACTTTCTCTGACAACTTTTTGCTCCCTCCCATTCTCTCCTTCTCTCCCTCTTTTTTCTCTCTCTCTGACATTCAAATGTGCTTTATTAGCATGACCATAATTAATTAAGTGCAGTACTGCACAAATGTGTTATACATAGGTTCAAGTATATTTAAAAAGGTAAAAAAAAAAAAAAAAGAAATGATTTCCTAGACTGCATTTGTCAGAAAAAGGCTGTGAGATATGGTCAAAAGTTCTGGAAAAAGCTTGTAAGGGAATCTTGAAATTATTACAAATATGTGGTCAAGAATTAACCTTCATGTTGAGACAAATAATATACTGTGGTTTAAAAAAACAAATACTACAAGGAAATCATTCAAAACAGAACTATTAAAACTAGATAGTTAACAATGTGATATAGTGGTAATGATGAGTGCCATAGGATAAGGAAAGAGATAACAAGAAAACAGGAGGTAGTTTGTTGTTGTTCTGCTGCTTTTCCCTCAGGCTGTTACATGCTCTGACATATTTTGCTGTTTCCACAGAAATGTCAGTTTGTCAGTTTTTTTAAATATTGTTTTGGTCTAAGTCTCTTGCTATTGGAGTTTTATTTTTGGTGAAGAACTTGGTTTCCATGTTTTGACACAGGCTGCGGTGTAACACCATGTGTTGTTCTGTTTCTGCCTCTTGTTGTTGGCTGAATTGACTGCTGCTTTCTCTGGTTTGCCAGAAATTCGTCTCACTTTTTGTGTAAGGAAATACCCTTTAACTACAGTGATACTGCAGCTATTGTGTCTATTTTCAAAACGTGTTTTTGGAAATATTTGTTGTCTACGTGTCTTAAGCTTCAAGACTCTCGGTTGGCATTTCCCATGGCAGTGTTGATATCTGAAAGCTCATATAGCGTTGGCTATCAACTGTTACAAATTTATGCCTCTGTAAAAAACATTCAACAACTGGAAGGAACCATTGTGCCGTTACGTTTGCATTCCAGTCCAAAAGTTGAAGCTCGCAATGTGGGCTAACTATCTTTCACTGGAAAAGTAGAAGCTAGTCAGCTTGCTAACGTTAGCACTAATTCCCTTTAGACATTACCTTTTGTTCATGTTATTTTAACACTTACTGAGTGTTTGAGTGAGTGAGTCTGTTAGGTTCCAGTTTTGTTAATGCCAAATATCCAGACTGTAAAAACTGTCAGCAGGTTGTCCTGTAACCTGAAATGATGAGGCTAAGCAATGGTTAACAACGTCACCTCCCTAGCTTGGAGAACGCTAATCACTTGACAGCCAAATAATTACCGACAATGACATAAATAGCAATTTCTTAGCAAAAATACATTTTAATTTCAATTCAACTTGAATATTTTTAACAGCTAATCTGCTATATGGCATTGTCGGTTCAGGGCTAAAAAGTTTTTTCTTTGACTATAGGCTTTGTCAGAGAGCTACACAATGGTAGAAGCTGGGTTCAGGGCCTGGGTTCAAGTGTTTATAGAATGTTATTGCTCTTTTTCATATACTAATTAAAGTCGAAATTGGCCTAATTCAGCTTGGCATCCACGGTTTGTTCTGTTTCTATGGGCTCTGCAGATGTTCTTTCATTCCTTGCTATTGCTTCTATTTTCTGATGTATCATAAATGCCTTCCTGGCCTTATCGCCCGCTGTGCTATAAAACATTCAATCCACACTACAGCACAGATTGTCCACTTAATCATAGTCTGAATGGATGTAGTCACAGCAGGGCACCAAACTCACTTTCAATACATCCTGCTTCTTTTCAATACTTTCCTGTGACAGTGATCAACTACCACTGACTCAAACAAGCAAAATAACAACTCTCCAAGGATAGCAAGAGAGGAAGTTGCCCTGTCATACCTCCGACAGGAAGGCTGTTTGTTTGCTTCCTGTGATCAATACTCCCAAAGAGGAACAAACCAATATTAGACTTTCAAATTCAACATTTTTCTAGTTGCTTTTTTCCCATGTTAATACTGCATTAGGATAGGAGTTTACAGTATGGACATCTTAATCTTGCGTACACATTTCATGCACTGTAGGGCCTTGGCCCTTATCTCCCAAGCATGATGAGCATTCCACACTGCCACTGTTGTGTGGACGCTTAATGACCCTGCAGTTTTAAAGCCCAGTGTGTGGCCCCATCACTCAGAATAGCAATGATTTGGATCTATAGCGATATGCATCAACTCATATTCATCCCGGTCATGCATGGACTGTATATACAGCGGCCACCTTGCGAACGCGGCACAATTTACTGACTTTCATTAGTAAATTAACTGCACAGATGATGATGCTGATTTCACAAGTAGAGCCGTGAGTGGTGCTGTTCTCCTGTAGAAAAACAAAGGATGCTTTACTTCAGCCTTAAACTATGGTGTGGTTTTGTTTTATTCTGCGCGGCGTCTCACTGTAGACATTGGTCAGACAAATTGACTTGAATGTTGATTAAATTAAACAACGTCCAACTACTGTTCACGGCAGGAAGAATTCCCTGTAGTATCTATTCTTGCCATGGATAATAATCAGATGTCACTTTTTATGTGCAGTACGTCCCACAGTTGCAAAAATCTGGCACTTTGATACAAGAAACACAAGATAATTGAAAAAAAGGATGTATTCCCACTTAGATGATGTGTGCACAAACATGTATGCTGCTGTTTTTAGGTTTATAACATATTTACATGTGGGACTTGTATGGGGTGAAATGAAAGATGCATATAGCAAGTGTATCGGGTAACAGGACACAGCTAAGTAATGATCTCGTGCAAACTCACTGACACTGTAATATCCAGAGGGAGAACTCCGAACATTGTTCCCCTTGTGGCCTCTTTCTGGAGAATAAAAAAAGAGCACATTTGTGTTTTATTGCACCTAGTTTTTCATATAGACAGATTGAAAAGGAAGATGGGATTAGATCTTTTTGGCAGAGGATAGGACTGAGCAGGAATAAACCAAGTGGCAATCTAACCCAGTCATAGATATATTGATATCATTATTTATGGAGATGGCTTGAACAATCAAACTGTATGAAGTCTGTTGTGTGTCCAGAAATGCACTATGTATGATCTGACTGTTTCCAGTGTTCAATCACAACATGGGAGTAAATATTTAATATTAAACAGAGTCTGCTTTCAGTTACACAACTGGTTATGAGGGAAAGTGAAAAGTAGTTGTTGCTGTGTGCTGAGAGGAGTTTGACTGCTGTCCAGTATTCTTTCATAAAAAAAATATCTCCTCATAAACCAGGCCTACATCCCTTTCTCAAACACTCCGTATACTATCTCACATGAAATATGCATCCAGATACATGTGGAACAAACATTTGAACATGTTCTCTTCCCTTTCTCACATATTTCACATACAGTACAGGCAATGTCGGTCTGACCATTCTGGTCCAGTGTAAGTGTAAGACGGATTCCCATGTAATTTTGTACAGAGATTCATGGTCTACAGAGGATGAGACCTTCCTGACTTGGACGATTTCGGTTTTAAGTGACATTACTGGATGGATTGTTATGTAATTTGGTACCAATATCCTGGTGCCCAGAGAAGGAATCCCGACGACTTTGGTGATCCTCCACCGAACGTTTTAGATATGTGTTGGTCAGTGGGTCCACTTTGGTCCAAACTAATATATATCAACTTCTACATGTACAGAAATTAATGATTCACAGATGATGAACCCTACAGACTTCTAGTGATACACTTTTACTTTAGCACCACCATGAGGTTTTTAGTAACATGAAACTAGTGAATGAATTGCCATGACATTTGGTTCAGAAATTCATGTCCCCCTCAAGATAACTCAAGATAACTTTGGTGGTCCCTTAACTCTTAATCGGTTCACAATTTCTGCTTGTCTGATGTATGACCAAATACCTGGGAAACTAAAGACATTCCCATCAGGCTCAGCTGTAGTTTTCATTTAGTACCAACTAGCAAATGTTAGCATACTAACGCTAAAAACTAAGATGGTGAACATGACTGGATAAACATCAGTATGTTAGTATTATCCTTGTGAACATGTTAGCATGTTGATGTTAACCTTCAGCTCAAGCCCTACTAATTACAGCCTGCCAGAGCTGCTAGCATGGCTGTCGACGCTTAGTCTTGCTTGTGACTACATCGTTGAAGTTCTCTTGGAGTCTTGAGAAAATAAACTTAGCACAAAAAGTAAGGACATTTGTGTTTGGTAGATTACTTTTCTATGGTAACAATGCTTTTTGGCAATAAATCTTATACCGTTGGAAAGCCTGTTTAGTTCCCTTTCAAATGGTGCCCCATTTGTAAGGAATATGCATTTGTGGGATGAGCAGCAGCGCTGAGTATGTGGGTTGCGCCCATGAAAAGTTCGCCAAATCTTTTCTGCCATTGCCAAACAGGTTATTTTGCTGTTGCTATTGACACTTGTTTTGAGCTTCTGGTACCCCCAGGTGATGCCAATCAGGTGCCTGTTTGGCAGTCATGCCAGGACTCCTGCCATGACTGCCCTTCACCGTCAGGCCCGTTTGCGCTGGTGTCGGCAACATGTGCACTGGAACCAGAACATGTGGAGGAACGTTATGTTCAGTGATGAGTCCAGATTCTGAATATGGCAGTTGGATCGTAGGGTCAAAGTGTGGAGAAGACCTGGAGAACGCTATGCTGATTGCTGCACTGATAGAATAACATCTTTTGGTGGAGGCAGTGTGATGGTGTGGGGCGCCATCTCCCTCACTGGAAAAACAAGGCTTGTCATCATTGGAGGCAATCTCAATGCAGAGAGATATAGAGATGAGATTCTGCAACCAGTTGTAATCCCATAGCTCCACAGTCTGGGACCGAACTCTATCCTCTAAGATGACAACACTCGCCCCCACAGGGCGGGGTTTATCAGAGACCACCTCCAGATTGTGGGAGTGGAGAGGATGGAATGGCCTGCCAGTAGCCGAATGGGGCACCATTTGAAAGGGAACTAAACAGGCTTTCCAACGGTATA